AGATGTGCATATTCTCCAATTAATAATTTTTAATTTTTATTTTTGACATAGGAAATTGTATTTTTTTTACTCTTACATCAAAAGAATGAAAGTTTAATTTATTTCTTATATATTAAATTAAAACTCGTATTATTATAGTGATTAAATTTTATTTTACTTTTTTACAGAATGATAAATGTCATTTTTTTATTTAAATTCTTTTATTTTCATAGTGCATATTTTTTTATATTTGTAACACATTTATAACGAACAAATATGAGTTGATACAAAAAGTATTCTACTAAATCAAATGTTTGGTGAATTGAATTGAATTACATTTAATATAATCGAATATTCTTGTATTAATTAGACATGTTTTTGAAAATTTTAATTTTTTTCTCTTTTAATTTATAATTTTTATATTGGTTATACATATATGTTTAAAACGTTTATGTTAAAAAAATACTTGTGTGGAAATGTTTTTCTCTTTTTGTATTACTTTTTAAAGTTAAAATTTTAATTTATTTAAGGTATAAATATGTCATTTCTAATTTTTCATTTAAATTATTTTCTATCAACTATACATATTTTTTTATAAATTTTAAATATTTTTTTGTTTAATCTATAATTTATTATATTAAATTTAATTTTATTATATATATTTTTTTCCACTACAAAAATATTAATGCAAAATTCTTTTCCCACCTATCAAGTTAAAAATTCAAATTTAAAATGTTTGAATTTTGAAATATTAAATATTTTCTCACCCAGTAGACATAATAACAAATATTATTAATAGATTTAACAATTTCTTATACTAAAAGTAGTGGGAAACATGCATAGAAGGTTGTGCATATTCTCCATGAAATGATGAGTTTTCCATTTTCGACTAACATTTGTAATGCACCTTCCACCTTCCAATAGAATAATTAAAAACCTTACAATTCTAATATAGAAATGATAATGAGATATTAATTTGATGTCTGCCACTAACACTTTAATTTCAAAATTTAATTTACTTAAAACTTAATTTTTAGTTATTCATTTATTTTCAAAAGATTAAATGAGAAGCAAATGAATGATTAAGCGTAGAAGATTAAGCAAATTAACACTTTAATTTTTAATTTGATGGCAAGCAAATGAGAACACATGAGGTAGAAGATTAAGCGTCTGAATGATTTGAAGGTTATAAGAAAATATCAAATGATGAGTTTTCCATTTTCAAGTAACATTAGTAAAGAGCCTTCCATCTTCCAATACAACAATTAAATACCTTACAGGTTCCAATGTAAAAATGATAGTGGATCATTAATTAGATGTCTCCCACTAATTTCTTGATTTCGATTTTTGATTTAATTAAAAACTTATTATGTAATTTTTTTAAAATTGACATTCAAGTGTGAACACAAAGCTAAAACTGCATGAGAGCTTGACACATCAGTTTTTTTGGTTCTCCTTTTAAGTATATAATAGATGGAAATTTAATACAGTTGTCTCCTGCTAAAAGATGTTAAACCTTTTTTCCCACCTATATCAATTTTAAATTTCAAATTTAAAAAAAGAAGTAGAATATTAATACACTTCTTTGCACTAATTAATGCTAAACTCTTTTCGCACTAACTATTTAGTTTAAATATTTTAAATTTCAAATTAAAATAAAATGTTTTTCATTCATTTGTGATTTTAAATTCTATATCTCGTATAATTATTTTTCGTTTTCCATCTTATCATTATGAATATTGGCAACTCTCATGTTTACGAGGATTCCATTCACATCTCACTCATCTTGGGATTAGGACTAACGATTTCTCATTTTTATTCATCGAATTGGCAACTCATTATTAGCATCAGTAATTACAACAATTACACAGTAAATCACTTATTCCTAATAGGTATATTAATTACTATTATTTTCTTTAACTGTTAAAAGACTCCTTGTAATATAATTTCTTTGTGTTTTGAAAATGTCTACGGTGACCTTTGAAATTTTCCACGCAATCAGAATTATAATAGGAATTCCTTGAAATTTTCAAGACATTCAGGTTTGCACAATTTCAAAAGTTATTTTCTTTTATTATAAGATGTTTTTTGAATTTTAATATTTTATTTACATCTAAAGCATATTAATTTTTGGAAAATTTTACCGAAATAAGTTTTGAATATTATTTAATTTTGTCGGAGAAAAAAATAAAATAAAAAGGATAAACAAAGGATACATCATAAAAGTCATACAGAAAATAAAGAAAATTCATTATTTTTTTGGATATCCAAAAGATATTAGTAATTATGTTGGTGAAGAGAAAATAAATAAATAAATAAATAAATGAAAGGATATATAATAATATATCCTTTTGGTTATTATAAATTCACAATTGAATGGTGCACATACAAATAAAAGAAAAAAAAATTGGGAAGCTGCAAAATCGAAAATCCAAAAGAGGGTAACCCATATCTTCATCCTCCACCTAATATACGCACAAACCGTTCTTCTTCTTCTGAACCCTAATTTAATTGATGATATTGGTTTCATGGTAGACTGCTTGCATTCACCGTTATAAAGCCTTGATCTTTTTCTTTTCCACCATTATGTATTTTTTGCATTTTCCTCACTGATACCCCAAAAACATAAGCATTAATAGAGAAAGAACTATAAAAAAATCCCTAAAATCCTTTTTCCATATTTTGAGGTGACTGATTATATGCTAAGAAAGTTTGTACTTGTGACCCATAGATTCTAAATTTCGCGTGCAAGGTTAGAACTTTAGACTGTTTCTTATAAATTCTTCCAATATGTTAATCGCTAGCCACCTACAACCAATCTATTACGTGAACCATTAAAGGTAGCTCTTTTAGGGCTAACAAAACAACATGTCAATGAAAATAGATGAAAAAAAGAAGCAAGGAAAGCAAGCAATGTAAAGTGAAATTAAAAATGAGATAGATGCAGTAATAAATGAAGAAGAGGGACCTTTGTTCTCAAAGGGTGTTGCTGGAGTTGTTTCAAGTAATTTTTCATTCTGATCCCTTCTTCGCTAAAGATCCTATCTTGCTTCCTCTTTGACTGGAAAGAGGTAACCGGGTCCGTGACTAATGTTCAAAAAAATGAGAAATAAAATGAGAGTGGATGAGGGGAAAGGAAATGATGGGTTTGGGTGAAGAATCAGAGCTGAGAAAGACGCTGTGAGAAAAAAAATAAAGATGCCATTTTGGAATTTTGTATTTATAAGAATAATTGAGAGAGGGGAAGAACTGAAAAGTTTTGTTTAGGTAGTATAATTTCTAATATCATTAATAGACTTTTCATTTTCCAATAATTTTCAATTAAAAACCTCACAATTCCACTGTAGAAATAATAGTGGGGCATTAATTAGATGTCTCCCACTAATTTCTTAATTTTGAATTTTGATTTATTTTATTATTAATTATTTAATATTAATTTTCAATTAAAAAAAATTACCAAAAGAAGAAACTTTTCAAACATTTCTCAAGTGTGAACACATTGGTGAAATTGAAGGAGGGAGTGATATATCAACAAACTTTCCAATGATAGTAGTACATTAATTTGATGTCACTAACACTTTAATTTTGAAATTTAATTTACTTTAAACTTAATTTTTAGTTATTTATTTATTTTCAAAATTGGCAAGCAAGTGAGAACACACAGGAGGTAGAAGATTAAGTGTCTGAATGATTTGAAGGTTATAAGAAAATATTAAATGATGAGTTTTCCATTTTCAAGTAACATTAGTAAAGAACCTTCCATCTTCCAATACAATAATTAAAAACCTTACAGGTTCCAATGTAAAAAATGATAGTGTGTCATTAATTAGATGTCTCCCACTAATTTCTTAATTTTGAATTTTGATTTAATTAAAAACTTATTATGTAATTTTTTTTAAATTGACATTCAAGTGTGAACACAAAGCTGAAACTGCATGAGAGCTTGACACATCAGTTTTTTTGGTTCTCCTTTTAAGTATATAATAGGTGGATTTTTTTTGATGAAGATAATAGATGGAAATTTAATACAGCTGTCTCCTGCTGAAAGATGTTAAACCCTTTTTTCCACCTATATCAACTTCAAATTTCGAATTTTAAAAAATAAGTAGGATATTAATACACTTGTTTGTCACTAATTAATACTAAACTCTTTTCGCACTAACTATTTAGTTTAAATATTTTAAATTTCAAATTAAAATAAAATATCTTTCATTCATCTGTGATATTAAATTCTATATCTTGTATAATTATTTTTCGTTTTCCATCTTATCATTATGAACATTCTCATCTTTATGAGGATTCCATTCACATCTCATTCATCTTAGGATTAACGATTTCTCATTTTTATTCATCAAATTGGCAACTCATTTTTATTCATCTTTATGAGGATGCCATTTTGAAATTTGGTATTTATAAGAATAATTGAGAGATGTGAGGAATTGAAAAGTTTTGTTTAGGTAGGATAATTTTCAATATCATTAATAGACTTTTCATTTTCCAATAATTTTCAATTAAGAACCTTACAATTCCAATGTAGAAATGATAATGGGGCATTAATTAGATGTCTCTCACTAATTCCTTAATTTCGAATTTTGATTTATTTTATTATTATTTATTTAATATTAATTTTTGATTAAAAAAAATTACCAAAAAAAGAAGCTTTTCAAACATTTCTCAAGTGTGAACACATTGGTGAAATCGAAGGAGGGAGTGACACATCATCAAACTTTCCAATGTTATTTATTCCCTTAGAATATATAATGATATAATAAAAATATTGATCTGTGAAAACTCTATCGCGCCTCATAGGTTGTAATCTCTTGCTTTTCTACCTAACTAAAAGATTTTTCCATTAACAAATAGAAAGAATGAAGAGTGAGCTGGAAACTTTGAAAAAAAACAATACACTATATATAATTTCTCTTTCCTTCTCTAAAACCCAATATCTTGAGCTTGACTTGCATTTACGTACAGTGACAACATCATACTTCTTTTCTATTGCTTTTGCTTCCCAAGATAGATTAGACTCCAAGTAGCACATAGTAGAGTATTGTTATGGGCAATGCAACCAGCATTCCAAATATAACCCTGCACAATTTGTGAAGTCTCTTTTAGAATTTATTTTATATGCCACAAGTCCACACAATCACTTGCATCTATTGCATTTTATTAAAAATAGATTTACAAAAGACACTTACGCAGAACTGAGTATATCTACATAGAGATTGTATTCTTTGGCAAACACAAAGGGAACAATACACTGGGGAAGGGCAGCCTTCAAATATTAAACTTATTATCATAAATAACTAAGAACAACGACATTGGACTTTGATTAAATGACAAAGTGGGTTTCATATATATTTCACCTGAACAATTGCAACATGTAAAAGAACTGCACGCATACCAGTGCCTATTGAGGTTGCTGCAATTACAGCTGGACCTGTCAAGAACCTAACAGCCATAGAAAATGCTGCCACAGATTTTCCACAGGCAATGATCTTGGGTTGTAATGCCATGAACAGACCTGTTTAAGAAAGCATTTTATTATAAATGGTTCCCATAATAATTAACATCAATTTTTTTAGGGCAATGGCAGAATTAAAATGAAAGCAAGGAAAAAAAATTAAAAAATTATAAGGCTCGAGAGAAGTACCTAGACTGAACATGGTTATTCCTAGACCAGCATTAGAAAGTATTGAGATGGAACCTTTCACAATATTAAGAATGAGAGTGGATCTTCTTCGCTAAAGATTCCGTCTTGCTTCTTTTTTGACTGGAAAGAGGTAATCGGGTTCGTGACTAATGTTCAAGAAAATGAAAAATAGAATGAGAGTGGATGAGGGGAAATGAAAGGATGGGTTTGAGTGAAGAATCAGAGCTGAGAAAGGCGTTGTGAGAGAAAAATAAAGATGTCATTTTGAAATTTGGTATTTATAAGAATAATTGAGAGATGAGAGGAACTAAAAAGTTTTGTTTAGGTAGGATAATTTTCAATATCATTAATAGACTTTTCATGTTCCAGTAATTTTCAATTAAGAACCTTACAATTCCAATGTAGAAATGATAGTGAGGCATTAATTAGATGTCTCCCACTAATTCTTTACTTTCGAATTTTGATTTATTTTATTATTATTTATTTAATATTAATTTTCGATTAAAAAAATTCCAAAAGAAGAAAGTTTTCAAATTTTCTCAAGTGTGAACACATTGGTGAAATTGAAGGAGGGAGTGACACATCATCAAACTTTCCAATGATATATAATTTCCTTAGTATATATAATGATATTGTATAAATCTATTAATTGATTATAATTGACTTAAATAAAATCTTAATCAATTAGTTGATTATAATGATTTTTTATTTATTTTATATGTATATATAAATATTATAGTTTCATTATATAATATGTTTTAAAAATAGGGTTTATATTTTCTGCAGAGATAACTTATCGGATACCAAAAAAAAATTATCCACATTGAGCCCAAAACGATGTCATTTTGGGATGAAAATTAAGGTGTTTTTGTAATTATAATTTATTTCAGAGTTATAATAGTTATTCTTATTTTAATTTTTTAACTCAAAACGATATCGTTTAATGTAGATAAGTTATCTAAGTGGAAATATTAAAGCCTTAGAAATATCATATGAATTTATCATATAATTGACAACCTTTGTAGATCGCCTCTTGTAGGTCATAAACATAAAGGAGGGGGAAAAATGCATAAGAGGCAATCTTTGTCCACCCTCAAGCATATTCAACCCATGAATCATGCAGTAGACATGTTAGGGGTTTAAAGTTGACACCTTTATTCAGATTATGGTTCCTAATCAAATGTGTTCTTGATCAATTCTTCAGACTTGAAAACACAAGTCCTTCGACATAGATACACACCACCTTGTAGTCTTATAAGAGAAGAACACTTCTTCGAACATTCAATACCTTTCAATGGAGGTCGCTAGACACCAGAGAAGAGAATAAGGTGAGTGGCACCAATGGTGATCCCAAGAGAGGGAGAGATAGCCGCCACACTAATGTGTATGTTGGCTAAGATTCCAGTGAAGAAAATTACAGAAAAAGAGTTACGAAACTAAAGAAGAAAATAGGCTATATATGTCGTGCCTCATTAACCTAAAATTAGGTCAAATCTGCGCCCTCTTCAAATTCCAATCTTATTGGGTAATTTCCTTAATTTTATCCTATTAATCCAATTGATTGGTTTCCCCAATTTCAATCAATTAATTTAATTAATTGATTTCCTTAATTTTGGTCAATCAATCTAATTGATTATTTCAAATTAATTTAATTGATTGGTTTCCTTTATTTTCTCATTCTTCATTAAATCTAATTTAATAACTATATTTAAATTCAAATTTCAAATTCAATATTCAAAATTAGAATTCAAATTTATTTTATTTAATTTCAAAATTCAAAATTAGAATTCAAATTAATTTTATTAATTTAACATTTAAATTAAGGGTTCATTTTTTCTGCAGTTATCTGTAGTATATATATATATATATATATATATATATATATATATATATATAGGGTTCGCTTTTTCTGCAGAAAGCCTAATACGACGTCATTTTGCGCGAAAATTATGGTATTTTTGTAATTTTAATTTATTTCAGGGTTATTATAGTCTTTATAATTATAATTATTTAATTTTTCAATCTCAAAACGACGTTGTTTTGGGAGTAAATGCAGATAACTTATCTGCAGTAACTACAGAAATATTATTCTGATATATATATATATATATATATATATATATATATATATATATGGGTTCGCTTTTTTTACGGTCAATGTAGATAACTTATCTACATCGAGCTCAAAACGACGTCGTTTTGAGGCGAAAAGCAAGGTATTTTTGTAATTATAATTTATTTCAGAGATATAATAGTCTTTTTCATTATAGTTTTTTAATTTTTCAACCCAAAACGACATCGTTTTGGGAGTGAATGTAAATAACTTATCTACATTCACTTTAGAAACATTAAAGCCTATATATATATAAGAATAATATTTCTCCAGTCACTTGAGATAAGCTTATTTCCAACCAACCCTTTAACTATATGTACTTGGAAAATACACAGTTATAATATTAAAGTTTTTTTTTTTCTCTTTCCATGTTAGTCGGCAAGTTTCTAAAAAAATTCTAAATATAGAAAAAAAAACAATTTTAGTATTATAACTATGTACTCCCCATAGTACATATTTATAAGAGGTGGCTGAAGATAAATTTATCTCAAGTGACTAGAGAAATATTACTCCCTACATATATATAGGATTCATCTAGTGTCTAGTTACATGATATAAGGTTTTGTTCAGTCACCCCTTTTTAACCATGTAATTCTATGAGTAAATAGTTATAATATTAAAATTATCTTTTTCTTTCTCTCTATGTCAGCTACAAGAATCTAAAAAGTTTATCGAGAGAGAGTAAAAAAAAAAACTTTAATATTATAACTATATATTCCCCGAAATAAATAGTTATAAGGGGATGACTGGACAAAACCTTATATTCTCTGATTGGACACCCAATTTATATATATATATATAGGGAAAAGTATTTCTTCAGTCACTGAGATAAAGTTATCTCCAGTGAGCCCAAAACGACGTCGTTTTGGGGTTATAAGATTAAAAAATTATAATGATAAAGACTAATATAACCCTACAATAAATTATAATTATAAAAATACCTTGATTTTTGTCACAAAACGACGTCGTTTTGTGCTCACCGTAGATAACTTATCTCCTTTGACTGAAGAAATGTTTTACCATATATATATATATATATGGAAAAATTGGGTGTACAATCATAGAATATAAGACTTTGTCCAGTCACCCCCTTTTAACTACGTATTTCGAGAAATATATAATTATAATATTAAAGTTTTTTCTCTCACTTGAGAAACTTTTTAGATTCTTGTAGCTGACATAGAGAGAAAGAAAAAGATAACTTTAATATTATAACTATTTACTCCTAGAATTACATGGTTAAAAAGGGTGGCTGGACAAAACCGTATATAGTGTGACTAGACACAAAATGAATCATATATATATATATATATATATATATATATATATATATATATATATATATATATATCAGAAAAATATTTCTCCAGTTACTGCAGATAAGTTATCTGCATTTACTCCCAAAACGATGTCATTTTGGAATTGAAATATTAAAAAATTATAATTAAAAAACTATAATAACCCTGAAATAAATTAAAATTACAAAAACACCATGATTTTTCCGCCCAAAAACGATGTCGTATTAGGTTTACTGCAGATAAGTTATCTGCAGTAACTGCAGAAAAAGCGAACCCTATATATATATTCAACGGTTAAGATTTGATAGTGAGAGATAATAAATATAACTCTCCCAATATATATATATATATATATATATATATATATATATGAAAAGTATTTCTCCAGTCACCGGAGATAAAGTTATCTCCAGTGAGTTCAAAACTATGTCGTTTTGGGTTATAAAATTAAAAAATTATAATGACAAAGACTAATATAATGCTGCAATATATCATAATTACAAAAACACCTTGATTTCTGCTCCAAAACGACGTCGTTTTGAGCTCACTGGAGCTAACTTTATCTCCGGTGACTGGAGAAATCCTTTACCTATATATATATATATATGGCTTATCGTTTTTCTCAAGCTGCTTGAGATAATTTTACCTTTGAATGGTTATGATTCTCTTTTTCTCTCTCTTCCTTTATCACCATTGATTCATCTTTGTACGGTTATGATTTAGTAGCCGGAGATAAAATTATCTCAATCAGCTTGAGAAACGATAAGCCATATATATATATAATTATGGTTTAAAAGGGAATTCACTACACAGCTCGGAGTTGGGGAAACCCCCGAGAGACTATGAAGTATGAAGACTGGGAGGTGAAAACAGGAATGAGGAGGAAATTGTCTGGTTTAAACTTAATTATTTTCATTGCCTGTCTCAAATTTTTATCATTTAAGTTGTCTCACGGGGACAAAAATATCCTTGCTATGAAATAATATAAAATTAATATTAAAAGATTAATTTAAAAAAAGAATTAATTTTTTTTTAAGATATTTAATAAATGTAATTATATATTTTTTATTTTTAAAAAATTAATTTAAAGTAATTGTTTTAAACAATTAAAATTTAGAAAGGTTAAAAAAAGATGAAAAGGATAAAAAATGTGAATAAGAAACTGAAAAGTAAAAAAAAATGTTATAGTTCATAAGAATTAAAAGATTTTAAAATTTTAAAAAATACCACGTAATAATAATGAAACAATTGTTATGTTATATAACGACAGAATGATAGGTACTACAATATAATACATATTGCTAAAAAAATAGAAAAAAAATCATCAGTAATAAAATAATATAACAATAGTTTATCTACGGATGTCAAATGTAAAACAATAATACGTAATTTAAAAGTAATAAATAATACATAAGAATAATCTTAATTATTATTTTTTTTTGCATAAGAATAATTTTAATTATTCGTTAGAATATTGTTAATGTTAATGAGTTATGGTTAATGTTTGACCTTCTAGTTTGAGAAATTTGAACATCGTTATATAGTTTCTTCGTGGAGCATGGAATCGGGATTGATCAGTAGGAAATTGGTTGTCACAGACTTGGTCTCCGTTGGCGTTCCCAACTTTGCTTGGGTCGAGGATCTTACGGACAAGATTAGCATGAACCTCTCTTTTTTCTTTTTTTTGTTACAAGTAGCATGAACCTCTCTCTATATAAGAGTTCAACGCTAGCTAACCCACTCTCTCATTCCACTTTTCCTTTCTTAACAATTCCGCGTTTCCTATCTTCTCTTTCTCTCTCTCTCTCTCTCTCTCTCTCTCCCTGTGTGCAAGTGGCCGTTTTCTTCGTATGGCCATATATATAATTTGTTCAAAATGTCAAATTCTAATATTTTAGAACAACTTTTAATTTCAATTCGGTGAGTCTCTTTTCCAACGTGATTCATGCATTGCATTGTATAGTGTTCCTATGACCTTATTCTTTCATGAAACATGAAACAATTTTTTGGTTTTTTTTTATTTAGATGTTATGTTGAGTATTGACGTGCATGAGAAGGGGTAAAATATTTTCAATGTCTCAAAATTTTGTTGTTAGCTGGATCTTGCTGCCTTTGATTCACGTGTTGATAATGGTTATAAAATTATCAATTCGTACTACAGGATCCGTGGAATTCTGTGATTTTGATATGTCTTCGTTTTTTGCAACTTTTAAATTATTCATATGTTCTCATAGCCCATATGTTGTTGTTTTGAAGGATCAAATTCCGAGAACTCTCTATTCCCTCACACGATTTTCGTGTACCAAAATAATAATAATCATAATCTAAGAATTAGTCTTCTTGATATTATCCTTTTTTGTGATCACAGGGGCATGGTCATCTCTTTTGAACCATCAGATTTTATTCTGGCATTCAATACCTGCATGCATTTTCTCCTGATCATTTTCCCTTCATAATGTTTTTTTTACTTTTTAAGTATTGGTCAGTTTTTAGTTAAGATAACATGTGAAATGGTGGGATAATTTGCATGTCACTAATTATTTAAAGATGAATTTGATGATGCATTTTAGGGAAGATCGGGCACTGGTCTAGTACGTGCTGACTTGCCTGCATTTCCTTCATAAATGGGCTGTTTCCACTCTAAAGTAGGAGATAAATATCAAGGGCAGGAGGACGCAATGACTCTTGCATCACAGACAACTTGTAAGTTGTTGTTGTTTTTTTTTAATGGAATCGATGGATTTCCCGTGGGACCTACAATTTTTTTTAGGGAAGAAGTTTTGTACTTGTTTAGGACAAAGCTACACAAATTTTAACCCTTATAACTATGTATTAAAAATAATACATAATTATAATATTATAGTTATATTTTTTTATCTCTTCAAAAGTTATCTGTTGATGTAAAAATAAAAAAAAATACAATTTAATATTATAACTCTCTACTACGAACTCATAGTGTATAGTTATAACTGCTAAAAACAAACCTTGTGTCCAAGGACACACACTGAACTGAACCCATTTTTTTAATATATCTTGCCGGTTCATTGTCTTAATTGATAATCGATTTAACAAATTGCATTTGAATCCTACTGCGTGTTAATTAAATAAAAAAAAAATATTACTAATTTTGTAATGCATTAGTCATGGAATTGTTATATGATTCTATCTATCTTTCTCGCATGCACTTTATATTAATTTTCTAGTTATTATTAGTTTTCTCACTTGTTTGTTAATTTTTGGTTTCTCAGTCAGCGTCAGTGAGGTTGAAGCACTATTTGAGCTTTTTAAGAGCATCAGCAGGTCCGTCATCGATGATGGACTAATAAGCAAGGTACCATATAGAAAATGCCTCCTTTGTGCAATAATTATTTTAGGGGTTTGCATTTGTCATTTAACATGACACAACAAATTTTCTTACACACACAAGAGTCCACATTTTTTGAAGAAAAAAGAAAAAAAATTACGGCACGCTACACAATCACTTCTCCTACAACATACCTCTTATAAAACCCATTATTTTATGATGGTTACTAGTTTTAGTTGTTTCTAACTTTGTATCTACCCTTTACCATTTAGGTTTGTAATATTTCTGTTCTTCACATTGAGTTGCTAGTTTTTACCCTATATTGTAATAATGAGCGTTATTTTGCAGGAAGAGTTTCAATTGGCAATTTTCAACAATAGGAAAAAGGAGAATCTCTTCACAAGTCGGGTACTAGACAACATCCTTTTGCAATTTTAATAACCATGCTGTTATAGTTGTGATTGCTTGCAAGCTTTTCTGAATGCCCACAAACTGCTTAAATATGCACTCTTTAGAATTAGATCAATGATTTGCAATGCAAGTAGGTGACAAAAATTTGCAGTTTAAATATACGCTTCTGGAACAAAATCTCAATCTATTAATCCTAATGTGTTTGTTGTGAACCAATTAGCATTTGGTGTTTGAATCAACCAAAATGTTTCTTGTGGTATTTCAACTTCAAAGCAGCATTTTCTATTGACATCAGAACTTTTGTAAATGCAGATCTTTGATCTATTTGATGTTAAGAGGAAGGGAGTCATTGACTTTGGTGACTTCGTCAGAGCACTAAATGTCTTCCACCCAAATGCACCTGAAGATGTCAAGATAGATTGTAAGTCGAAGATTAAATACTGATCAATTCATTGTGGCCCTGTGTGTTATCCTTATTTCCATTTTTGTGTATAATTGGTTTGGTTTTTTTTTTTTTTTTTTTTTTGCAGTTTCATTTAGGATCTATGATTTGGACAATACAGGATTTATTGAGCGCCATGAGGTAAGATGTTGATAGTTTGTTCTTCAATGCAACTGAAGTGTTCATTTTGGACGCAATATAATGAAATACCAATCTATATGTATATGCCTTTGTTCAGAAGTGATAATTGCACACTTTGTGCTTGGCAAATGTTATATTTAATCATTCTTTATGAAAAGATTTTTTATTGTGGCATTCATTCTCAAATACTCAAATCTGTGTATTGGTATCTATAATCATCGGTTTATTTACTTGTAAGTGCTTTGGGTGATTTCTTACAGGTCAAACAAATGATAAATGCACTTCTTTGTGAGTCTGAAATTAAGTTGACAGATGAGATCATAGAAACAATCATTCAGAAGGTGAGTTATGTTTCTAAATATTCTATATAATATTAAATATTAGACGAATAATTTAATTAGCTAGTTGATCAACGCTTTAATCTCCTCTCTTTCTTTAATCAATTATCTCAAAATAAAAGACTTGAACTTGGTGTTTTATTTATGACTAGACTTTCTTGGCTGCTGACCCTAACCAAGATGGGAAAATAGACAAATTGGAATGGCAAAACTTTGTGTCTCAAAATCCCTCACTGCTAAAAATCATGACACTACCCTACCTGAGGTACGTGCAAAATTATCTTCTGGTAAATTTTGAAATCACTTATATTGAGATGTTCTGACTATAATAAAATTTATTAATCGTGAAATCAAAACAGGGACATAACGACAACTTTCCCAAGTTTTGTGTTTAACTCGAAGGTGGAAGACGACATTGAGGTTTGAGGGCCTGCATTTTTGGTTACGCAATTACTGATACAATCGGGATTTATTTTTTGAGTGAGTTTGAGATTGAGATGATGTTAATGTTAATGAGTGCGGATATAGCAATAGTTAAGAGAAAATAGTACTTCGCTTACCAAAAAAGAAAAAGAAAATAGTACGTAGGCTTTCTAAGTAAGTTGTAAATGATATTCTGATTGAAATGTTCTGCCAGCTTTCATGTTTAATGCTTTAATGCCTGATTATTGTAAAATGCTACTACTTGTACGAGTTAACATGGATAAGGTCTTGTCCAACAACCATTGATAACGAGATTTTGATTAGTTTTCTCTAGCTTCATAAGTTGCTTTTAGTTGAGATTCCATTATTTATACTTTACAAAGATGGTGAGAATTGCCCTGGATGTCACCATGAAAAAATGTTATAACCTGCTACTCAGGCGGGTCAGGGGAAGTGAGTGGCAAGGGACCACCGTTAATGAGTTAAACTAAATCAGTCATATTAAGTGAATTTGACATCATGTCATAACTCAAAACCTTAAGGTATTGGGTTTATGGGTCTTTTCACTTATATTTACTTTGCTTAGCCCATTATCAACCAGTGCGGGACTCATCACACTTGAATAACCCAACAATCTCCTCTTCAAGTATGAAACCCAACATTGGTATGCTCCCCCTCAACCGAGTACCCAGTCCCAAAGTATTCAACACGCCTCATAGCCAAACACCTGGCTAGCCCAAGCCCAACCTAACTCTGATACCACTGTCTAGCGGGTCCAGAGGAAGCTAGTGGCGGGAGACCGCCACCAATGGACTAAGGCTACACCATTATATCAAGTGAGTCTGACACAATGTCTCAACCAAAAACCTTAAGGCATTGGGTTCATGGGTCCTCCCACTTATATATTCACTTCACTTAGCACGTTACCCACCAATGTGAGACTCTTTCACACGTGAATATTCCAACAGTCTCCCCCTCAAGTGTGAAAGCCAACATTGCTATACTCTTCCTCAACCGAGTACCTTAGTGCCAAAGTACTAACTCACCTCCTAGCTAAACACCTGGCTAACTCGAGCCCAGACCGGCTCTAATACTAGTGTCAGGTGGGTCAGGGGAAGCCCGTGGCAGGGGGACCACCACCAATGGGTTAAGCTAAACCAACCATTTCAGGTGGTTAAGTATACGTAGTGCATTGTAATTCGATATGTACATGAGAGATGCTTTATTTAACGATTGATCTGATGTTTAGGTGAGTTGAGCACCATACGAAAAATTGACACCGAATCCATTTGCAAATAGCAGTGGGAATTTATTAGGATGGCGACATAATACAATGTGAAACTATTACTAAGAAACGGAACAATCTAATGAATTCACTACTGGAAATGGAGTTGATGTCTCAACGGATGGGTTTACACGTTTTTTTGTTTTCCTTTCGTTGCAGTGAACTTCTTAACCGATTGAGCCATGAAGTCTAACAATTATCCAGCAGGAAGCTCGTATTTGTGCCTTACCAATTAGATTGGCACCACAATTCATAGGAAGAAAGAACACATAGGAAATGCGCAGTATAAAAACAATGACAGTATTCCCGTATATACCAAGTTGAATGGCGTCAATAGTTTACGTCTGAAAACAAAGGGACACTTTCATATTTTTTTCTATAATTTGGTTTAATTAATTAATTTGCAAACAAAATTTTCTATAACTTATTTCTCTTTCTCCCTCACTATATAAGGGCTGTGACACAATTGAGCCCGATTAGTTTACGTCTAAAAACGAAGGGACACTTCCATATTTTTCTATAATTTGGTTTAATTAATTTTGCCAACAAAATTCCAATCATAATAACTGTCATTTAAGATGAACCGCCCATAATGTGTTATCCAAATTGGACATTTTGAATCTACATGCTCTAACTTGAGGGGAGTATTAGAGGAACAAACACTGTTTTGAAAATATTCTGCATTTAATATATACGTAATTATAAGAATAGAATTAGTTGTTAGAATAATTAGCTAGTATGTTAATATTCTACATTGAATAGAATTAGTTGTAAGCATAATTAGCTATTGTGATAATATTCTGCATTGAATAGAATTAGTTTTCAACATAATTATAGGATTAGAATGTATGAAGGGCAGTTAATAGTTTACATCTGAAAACAAATGGAAACTTCCATATTTTTTCTATAATTTGGTTTAATTAATTAATTTGCCAACAATATTTTTGATAATTTATTTCTCTTTCTCCCCTGCTGTATAAAGGCAGATATTGTGGAACAACTGAGCTTGATTAGTTTACGTCCGAAAACGAAGGGATACTTCCATGTTTTTTCTATAATTTGGTTTAATTAATTTTGCAAACAAAATTACAATATTAATATCTATCATTTAAGATGAGTTGCCCATACTGTGTTATCCAAGTTGGATATTTCCAATCTACATGCTCCAACTTGAATGGAGTATTAGAGGAACAAACATTATTTTAGAAATATTCTACATTTAATGTATACGTAATTATAGGAATGGAATTAGTTATCAAGCATAATTAGCTAGTATGTTAATATTCTGCATTGAATATAATTAATTGTTGTCAGCATAAATATCTATTACGATAATATTCAGCATTGAACAGAATTAGTTGTCAGCATAATTATAGGATTAGACTGTATGAAGGGCAATTAATAGTTTATATCTGAAAATGAAGGGACACTAAAATTTCGTATGACATACATTCCACCTCCGCTAGTTGATCTCTTATCCTTAGGGAATCACATACAGTCCCTTGAATCTTACCACCCTGTTATTACAAAAAGGAGAACCCGTAAGGAATGTTTAATAGTTATATGAATTAAAAAATACTAACTTGCACGACAGAAGTGCTTAACAAAACTCACGTTCATTTATTAAAACCATCTCGACATTGTCTCCCATCTCGGGTTGATGAAAGTTGGGCTGCCTTTAGAGTCCGGTAACCCTAACTTTGATCATCCACTGCTCTTTAGATGATGTCATATCACGGATGAGATCAAATCTCGTAACCATTTCAACAGATATCGAAACATAAAGTTTAGCCAGCGAATAGATAGACCTATCCTATTTAATAAATAAGAATGGATCAGTCCTAAGTCAACAATATCCTATTTAATAAGAATGAGTCATTCACGAGTCAATAATATCCTATCTAGTAAATAAGAATGAGACAACAATATCCTATATAATAAATACAATTGATAAAGATGAGTCAAGTCCATATCATGAGTCTAACTTGGAAAGAAAAACTTCAGATATAAATAGGATATTGGTAACTCATGGCTGACTCATTATTAACTTTTGTATTTAATATTATGATACACATAAGGGTATATACTATTATTATTTTTATTATTTTATTGTTAACCGGTTAAGTGTGAAAAGAAAACTGGTTCATGGAGTTTAAAGCAGACACGTTACATTTCTGTTGTTAACCGGTTAAGTGTAAAAGATAAAGTTTAAAGCAGACACATGACATTTTTGTTGTTAACCGATTAAGTGTGAAAAGGAAACTGATTTATGGGATGTAAAGCATACACATGGTATTTTTGTTCTCTATTGCTTCTCTCTTTTAGTAATAAAGATATATATGTATAAAAAAAAGTATGTATAGAAAAAACAAAAACAAATTAAGCTTGTTTTGAAATTTGTTTTGTAGAATAATCTATAAAAATGGATTTTCAAAATAAAAGAAGAAAAAAATTTATTTGATAAATTCAATTTGAAAAGAGTTTTAAAAGTTCAAAAAAATTATGTATGATAAATTTATTTTAAGAATATATTTAAAAAAAAAATCATTTCATTGGTAAATAATTTTTTATTAATTTCTTTTTAAGAATTCTTTAATCATATAAAAGCTTAGATATATTTCAACAAAATATATTTTTAAGACCAAAATAAACAATATCACAAATCCTTTTTAAGACCAATGCAAAAATCTTATAAGTTAAAAAAATAATTTATTATTATTATTCATATTATTTATTAAGAAAATAAAAATGTGAGAAGTATATGGAAAATAAATATTTATTTCCGTGAATATATAAAAATTAATGAATATTAGCATCTGTAAATGAAAAACTAATTGTTTAGTGACTAAATTCAACTTTTTGAATTTGAAGCAGTAATATTATCATTTTTATGTTCTTGTAAAGAAAGCTCCTCTTTCGCGTGAACGGTAAAATGGCTGCTTATTCTTTTGGATTCAGCTATAAGGTGCTGTTTGGTTCTGAAGATTCTGTAATTTCTCTAGGCAAATGAATTTGGGAATCCACTTTGTCTTTGTTTGGTACACAGATTTGGAGACGTTACCCATCTATCTCATTTGCATAGCATTGCATTATTTGGTCGACGAAAGTTAGGAATTGGCACTGTTGAGAATCAGAACTTGGAGGTGGTTTTTTGTCGATAGCCATCTAAATAGCAAAATGGTTTATTCAAGTAACGAAAATACCCTTATGATATTATCTTGGTTGTGTGGTCAGCGGCCCCATTGAAGAAAAAAGCTTGTCTTGGGTAAGTCAGATGAGAATCATCTCTAAACCGAAAATGGTTTTTCGTTTTGTTTCTATTGTCCTTTTTATCTCGTCGGTCTGGAAAGTTTTAACTTTAGTGTCATCATTTCATTAGACAAAGAAACCACCTTTGACACGTCACCCATGAATCCATTATTACACAAAGTCGCATGACATTCTTTTAAAAAATTTATTTTTTAAAATTCTTTTGATTTTATTTTTTTGTTATTTTTTATGTATTGGCTTTTCATTTCTCTTATTTAAATCTTAATTTTCCTATTTCTAAATTTATTTTTTTATAGTTAATTACTTAATTTTTTAAACACAATAACCATCAAAAGTGCATTATTTTTTTTAATAAGTTAAAAAGCATATTTTATTACATATATTGATCCTATATAGAGAAAAATAAAAATATACACTAATATAATATCCATTAGGCACATCTTTTTTT